GTTGGGCTTAGATAATTGGATTCTTGATGGGCCATCTAAGAACAAGTATATGGACTAAGATATTTGGATGGGCTTTAGGGTAAGGCCAATGTGAGGGGTTTGGGCCCAATTTGGAACATCGGGCCATATGTTGGGCCTTGGTTCATTGTTTGGATTTTGGGCCTTCGGAGTGTGTGTTTGTACCTTGGGCTTGGATCAAGCTAGGATGGGGGTAAAGTAGTCTTTTACCCTAAGTATGGATTTGTGGTTATGTATTGGAACCCAATTGTTAATTGGGTGTTGTTTTGTTGTTGACAGTTCGGAAATCTGTCAGCCAGCAGCCAGGGATCGTCTGCGTGATTCGGCAATGCGAGGTGAGTCTCCTCACTATATTTAGGGGGTCGAAGGCACCAATGCCGGCCCATAGTATGTTATGCTTAGTATGCTTGTTTTCTTCGTGACTTTTGCATGTGTTATGTATTTTATGTTTACCGAGCGGGGCTCGATGCCAGATGGGGCATGACGAGTATCTTGTAAGTCATCGATATGTGTTTTTATGGTTACCGGGTATGACCCGATGTCGGACCATGGCCCGATGACATGTATGTATGTTATTTATCTTTGTGATGATTTGGTATGTGTTGTGTGTTATATGTTTATGTGTTTATATGTTTACATGTTATATGTTTATATGTATACCGCGCGGGGCTGATGCCAGGCGGGGACTGATGACTTACAGATCTGTATACCGAGCGGGGCTCGATGCCGGGCGGGGCCCAATGCCGGGCGGGGCCCGATGCCGGACAGGGTCTGAAGCCAGGCGGGGCCCACTATATGTTAGTGTATGTTTGGTATGTGGTATGTTGGGAACTCACTAAGCTTTGTGGTTACGGTTTTCACTTTATGTTTCAGGTACTTTGGTTTTCAAAGGAAGAGTTCGGGTTGACTGCATGGCACGCACACTTATTGTTCCACATTTGACTTGTCCTAGGATTTATACTCTGATTATAATGTACCTGTTGTATTTAAGAAATTAATTGATGACCCTTTATTTATAAATTAAACGAAATTTTATGTCAGTATTTTTGGATCGTTTCAACACCAGCGTACGCTGGGCGTACATGCTGAGTACGCCGCGCGTACGCATGCCCACCTGTTGGGCTTTGGATTTGTTTAGGTTGGGCCTCAAGCCCACCTGTTGTAACAAGGCATTTTGGGCCGAGGACCATAATTAGATGTCTTTGGGCCATATTGGGCCTTAGAAGCCTTTTTGGTTGGGCTTGGATACTTTTGGGTTGTTTTGGATTTGGACCTTGGAGGGAGGAGGCCCAATAAGGCAAAGATAAAGGAACCTTTTTGTCTTAAGTCCGAGATTAGGGTTTTGGACCTTCGGGGTAGATTATGACCTAATTGCTGATTAGGATTTTATGCTTGTGCGATAGGGAGAGGAGTTCGCGAGTCATCCGCTGAGTACGTTTTGACACCCACAGTTTGAGGTGAGTCTTCCTTCGCAGTAGTTGTGGATCAAAGGCACCAAGGCCGGCCCACTAATTATGTTATAACATGATGATTGTCTTTATGATAATTGTCAATCGTGTTGGTATTTGTATGATGACTCAGTGATTAGTGTTATGATATTGTGTGGTATTAACAGGGGTGAAATAGACCCGACATCCGGTTGAAATAGACCGAAGGGGCAGGCCAGCACCCAGATATGTCTGGCAGTATCCGGTTGGGATAGACCGAAGGGGTAGGCTAGCACCCATATATGATTGCCAGTATCTGGTTGAAATAGATCGAAGGGGCAGGCCAACACCAAGATATGTTTGGCAATATGTTTATTCAGTATGTTGTGTAGCATGTTTGATTTGTATGTGGTATGTTGGGGAAACTCACTAAACTTTATGCTTACAGTTTTTAGTTTCTGTTTCAGGTACCTCTAGTTAGAAGGGGAATGGCCCGTCTTGATCGCGCCGCATCACTCCATGTTTTTCCACACTTAGTGATTTTGGGATTTATAATCTGATGTTATGATATAATATGACTTCTTGAATATTTTGGTATCAGTTTCTTATGAATGGAATATATTTAAAAACAAAAAATTTTATCTGTATTTTTGGGATGTTACATGTGGTATATTAATGTGCCTCTAATTTGGTTAGAAATGGTTTTTGTTGCATATTTGATGTTATTTAAAATTTGATATATGCTAAACATAAGTTCATAATTTTAACTTGGTGGATAATATCTTACCAGTTTAAATGACCAAAATGACCCTTATAAGAACCTTAATGAATGACCACTAAATGTATGTTTTGTACTTATTATTTGTAAACTATTTGAAGTAGCCATCAATACTACAACATTTGTAATTAACCATTATACATTCTATTTCAAGTTGGAAAATTAGACATCAATTATTGAACTATATTATATTCCACATCATTTAGTGAACACGATTCTCAATTTTTTCAGGTAATATTACATAAGTAAATCTATAATCTATTTTTGTTCAACTCAAATTGTTTACTTTAACATTGTATAAGAACATAATCTACAAAAAAAAAACATTTCCATTACATTAGTACCATGTTTCTCATTTACAGGAACATACGTTAAAGAACAACATGGATTACAACATCAATATTCCATCCCATATAAATATTGGAATAAGTGTCCAATGTCATAACTAAACTGGTCAAGGTCATTACTAAATTGATATATCTTTATGGAATAAAAGTAAAGTTTTTTTTGGGTTGCCCTCATTACCATAAATAGCAAGAAATGAATTTAGGAGAGAGATAAAATGATTTATTAATTTATTATGTGATTAATAAATTAATTAGAAATAGTTTGAATTAGTTGATTATTGATCAGAACTAATATGGAATTAATTTGGGATTAACTGGAATTAATTAAAGGTGTGGGGGTGAATTGTAATTGTTTAATATTTGAATAAAATGAGCAATTCTAGAATGGTTCATCATGTGGACAGTTTTGGAGTGTTGTGGAAGGGTTCTAAAACCCTCCTGGTTGCTGATATGGTAAAAATTTGAATATGATAAAATCTGATTATTTTATTATTCAAATCAAGGCTTATCTTGTTGGGTTTTAAGCATAACATCATTCCTATGGTGTACATGCAACCTTAATTGCTTTGGATATAGGTTTTGCTAATTTGAACATATAACTATGAATACCAAAGCAATAACCCTATGACTAGCATGCATATATCGAAAATCACATATGATTAGGGTTACTATCTTTACCTCTCTTATTATGTTGCAATAACAAGTTTAATCCTTCTTGACCTTGACTTCTGAAAGCCTAGTGCCCCAAGTGTTGCACCTATAATGGAGTCACAAACACCCAATGCAAGGAGGATGACTTGGGAAAGAAGGATTTCGGCTAGGGTTTCTTTCTTGAATGCTTAGGCCGAAAATCCCCTTGTATGGGGTCCTATATATAGCTGTGGCTGCTAGGGTTTTTAGGTGGAAACCCTAATACCTAACTTAGGCAACAAGCAGCCCATGAACTCCTTCCTTAGAGCCCATGGACAAAATCTTATGGGCTTCCCCATAAATTTTTGTCCACTCCACTCTACGAAGTCCATCAGCCAAATTATGCAACTATCAATGATTTGCATAACAGTCCCCCAATTATTTAATCAATCTCTTTTGACCACTAAATTAATTCCAAATTAATTTATGATCAATACTAATTAAATAATATGATTTCCAAATAATATATTAATCTTGTAATATATTAATAAAACCATTTTGAGTACCAATTTATTATTCATATAATAAATCCTACTCTCTCTCCTCTTGTCATCCTATCAAGTTGCATGAGTGAAGGCAACCCAAAAGGACCATGCTCATAATCAAATCAAGTACATACCAAAAATAGTTATGGGCTTAGACACCTAATCCAACATATCTTAGATATTAACCAATCTTTAAATAGGACCCCTTGACATGCAAGTTTCGTTCATATGCCTTTAAGGAAGATGGAATCCGATTTTCATCAACTGTATCCACTATCCAAGTTGATTTCAAGTGTTTTAGGGTTTTAGGTGTGAACCATTAGAGACATCCATACTATTGGATGTTAACTTTCCATGGAGCATTTGAGACTCAAGAGTTAGTACTTTTGAGTATATAAAAATGTATGTATTCTCCTTGTATTTTCGATTTTAGTAGGTTAATGTTGTTTCATAAAAGTAGGTTGATATAATAGTGAAAAATTGAAAATGCCAAAGAGTTCTAGGTTTCATGTGCCCATAAGAGCTTGTGAGTAAAATCTGTTGTGCAAATCTTTTTATTGTAACCTAGAAACCCATCAATAAACACTAAAACCCAATGGAACCCCAAAAGACCACCGCATAAACCCTAAAACCATTTAATTGATAAATAAAGAAGAAAACCTAACAACCATATAACATGAATTCGTATCGTCTTGAAGTCGTCAGTTGGAGCTTTAAGATTGTTCTTGGACATCAACGCCCCATGAATAATGTAAATAGTCCTAGGTTACATCGGGGGATCCACCCCACCCAATAAAGCTGCATCACGATCCAAACCTTTGATAACTCCATAATCGTCTCTCTGGGTTGCGGTTCGTCCACAATGTGACCATGATTGTCGGGCTCCACATTGGCAAATCACCATTTACTTAGGGGTTGATCGAGTGTGGTTAATTTGTATAAAGAAGTGACAGATGAATAAGACAATGTGAGTAACCGATGAAGAAGACTTTTTAATGTTTTAATTTAAATATATACGTTAGAAGGATATGTGCAAAGACGGATCCCAAGGCACGTGAGGGATTTCTAATGGATTCCAGGTGGCGGTAATCGGGTACGGACCAAATATGCTTGATTTTAAAACCGTAAGGATGCTCTGCATCAATCTCCCAAAATTTAGACTATACCTTCACACTAAGGTAAACCACAGGGGCCATTTATGTAATTTAATCTAACTAATATTATAAAGAATACCCGGATATATTTTGGTCCACATAGTAAGTTAGACAATCGGCACCCACAAGACCAAGCCGATGCCCCGGCCAACAAGCAGACGGGAATACTCCAATTAATTTCGTCGACTTTGAACATAGTAGCAGCGGATTAAAAGGATTTTGGGGGAGTTTTTCTGTAAATAATTCTGGGAAGACAATCGAGAGGGGTGATGGAAATGGAGGTGAGGAGGATCGTTGTGGTGGTAGAAGAAGTGGAAGTAGCAAGAACAGCTATGGTATGGGCTCTTCATAATGTTCTCCGATATGGCGATTTAGTAACTCTTCTTCATGTATTTCCGGCGACCACCACCACCGGCAGTAAATCGCGTAACAGAAAGAAGCTCAGGTTGCTCCGATTGAAAGGCTTTCAGTTGGCTCTTTCATTCAAGGACATCTGCATTCATAGTTTCCCAAACGTAAGCACATAACTCCTGATTTAAATCGATTAATTTGTTCGTCTTTTGCTCAATTGCTTAAATTGTAATTACGCAATTGGAATCGCTAACAGACGAAGATAGAGATCGTTGTGACGGAAGGCGATGAAGAAGGCAGTAGGATCACGGATTTGGTCCGGCAGATTGGGGCTTCAACTCTCGTTGCCGGCCTCCATGATCAGAGCTTTCTCTACAGGTAAATTTCCTTTACACTTATTCTATTCTTATGATCCATTAATCATTCGTCTATTATCACTTCTTCAACAATCGATTCTTCATACGAAAACTCAATTTTCAATTTTCTACGAACACATTGTTTGGTCAACGCAGTTCATCTCTGCTTCAACACCGACCATGGAGTTTTCTTTTCCAAATTTTTAACGCATTAAATTAGTTTAAAAAATTGACAGGTAATTCCAAATTGGGATTTCTTTTCGTATAATATGAACAAAATCTGTAAAAAGTTAAAGAAGATGATTGATTCATGTCCAAATCATGTCATAAATATGACACATGGATGATTAAAATATACATTCTAGGATGAAAGGCAGATTGTTCAGACATTTCCCACTATTTTTATCATTCATTTAGCGTTTGATTGCAATCGTTCAGATTTCTATGCTTATTGATCTTGTAAATGCCTGTTTCGCACAAACAAACAATAACAACCGGTTATGGGTGGAGAGTGGTGGTGGACATTGAACACTATTGATCACTACACAACATGTCCTGTTTTTGTACAATTATTTTTTTTAATAATAGAAATCAAAGTAAATTACAACTTTGCCCCTTTGGTACACCAAAAGTTATGGTTTTGTCTCCATGTTTCATTCGTTGCATATTTTAAGTAAATTATTCTGTTGTGATTAAATTTGCATTTAAAGGGAATATTCTCAAATTAATGAAACGCGATAAGGATGAAATGCAAATTAATTGTTGCACATTAATGCAACAATAAATTACTTTGCCTCCCATTTTATTAATTTGTACCAGTGTCGAATTAAATTTGTTCATAACAGAAAACCAGTACAATATTTAAACCAAATTGTGATAATTTTGTTATGATTTATGGAATAGGTTAGCAATGGCCCACAAGAACATTGGTAACAATTTGAATTGCAAAGTTCTTGCCATCAAGCAACCTACTTCACCATTAACATCAAGTGGGCCCACTTTGTCAGATAGTTCAACCAGCATGGACTTTTCTCAGATTGAAATTTCCTCATTAAGGTATTATTTCTTACTTACTTGATAACTTCTTATATATTGTTGTAATATATAGGTTTTTAGGATACATATTCTAATTTATTTTTATTATATCACAACATATGACATAGGCATTGGTTCATGGTTCATTTATGTATGAAAATCACATAAATGGACCAGTTTGTACATATTTGTCTCTTCTTAAAAATAAGATAGGTATGGTAGGAAAAATAGTACAGAAAAATAAGATAGGTTGTTCAAAACCACATAAATGATGAATGTACAGTTTATTTTATAGCAATTTGAAAGTAAGATAGGTTCACCATTGAAGTTTACAATCACTAGATTTATTGTAATTTCTATAAAATTTGTTGATTTGTTGCAGTGTACCAGAAATTCCTCCACCAAAAATTCCGTATCAAGTATGTCCAGATCCATCAGCCATTATATGGAGATCAAGGAGAAGAAGAAAGCAATGAATAACAAAGCCGGATTAATACTTTAGTTAGGGCCTTAGGGCTTAGGGGTGTGCATCGTTTGGACTCAAACCATTGTGCAAAATTCGGCCCATTTTCTTCTAAAAGTCCACATAACACCACACAAAAAGTTGAAATTTTACTCTTCTCCATTACAAGTTTTCTTCTCTCAAAGTTAGGATTATTTTTAGTGATGGGTATAAGGATGACATTCACATATTATAAGACATGCAGGAAATTGAGAGCGAGTCATGTCCTACTTTTTTGGGCGTGACAAAAAAAAAAGACAAATTTTTGTTTTGTTGACATCAGACCACAAGCTAGCACACACATTTCTCTTGCACGAAAAGGAAGCACATGTTGCAAGAATAAACCAAACAATGAGATTAAAATCAATAGTAATTAATAAATAAAAGTAATATTATTGACATTCTAGGTCCATGGGTAACTCTATTTTTCTGAAATTTAGCACTTAATTTGTTGGTGCATATTATGTTACTCGTGAAAGATCGAGTACTAAGAGTGAAGTGAGTAGAATAGTAGATAATGAGAATTAATCATGATTTGACTTGTTAATATCATGTTACAATTAAAAGAATTCAACACTATGATTCTATTTCCTAAGCTTCTACCAACACCACCAAACTCTAGATGAAGTTATAGTGTATTATAAATCATGATGGAAATACTCCTCTGAATATTAACATAAAATTGGTACAAGGTATGATGTTATTAGGCACTTTTTGGACTGTTCTTTGTCATGCAATTCGACTTATCACTTATTATGTGTGTAACTGTTTGATTTCATCACTTTGTAGCTTCTGGTTTGACTTCATAATTTATCGTCTATATATGGGATACTACTTTGTTTTTGTGGTATATAAAGCAACGCTTTGTAAAGATGATAAATTAAACAACCATATTACATGAAGCAAAGTACAAGTTGTGATTTTAATTGATAGTTTTTGTGTTGAATGTTTTGTTTGTTATTTTGTGTTTTGACGTGTATATGTCAAGTACAGTTGAGTATTATCTCTGATATTTTACTATTGTTATATTAAAATAATAGCAATTGTATTTGAGTGAATAATGAAAAATGTTACATTTTAAGTCTAAAAATGATATACCTTTTGCAAGTAAAAAATGATATACTTTTTGCAAGTAAAAGCATAATAAAGGCGTCATTTTAGTGTAAAAAAAGGTTGTTTTTTTTGTAACTATAAGAAAAAAAAAATTTGATTTTGAGTGTAAACAAGGTTGTAAAATTCGTAACTAAAATAAAGGTTAAGTTTGCAAATTCAATAACTAAAAACATAATAAGGTCTGTACTCGAGGGTTAAAAGGTTGAATTTGAATGTAAAAAAATGACAGTGTATATATATATATATATATATATATATATATATATATATATATATATATATATATATATATATATATATAAAGTTGCATTTCTACGATAATTGCAACTCTTTATGATAACCAACTGGTTGCTTTAGCCTTTAGGTGCGTCGTTAAAGCCCCCATTGTGAAAATGTTGCTTTAGGCATAATGCATTAACCCAAAGAAGAACTCTGTTGGGCTAAATAGGCTTGGAGATGTAATCTTCAGCTGAGAGGTGTTGGTTTCTAGACGTCCAAAAGTAAGGGATGTTTTTTAACGGACTACACTATAAGAGTCGTTACACCTATGGTAAAATTTTTGAGATAAGGTGTTTACTATTTAGTGGATTAGAGTTTGTTACATTGTATGATATTGTAGTTTATATATTTATGAACATGTTTTTTTTTTTTTTTGGTTGAAAATTCATATGCTTTGGGAAAATTAAAATAAAACAAAAATAATATTGAAATCCCAGTTTCTACCTATAAGGAGGAGATATCCTTGTCATAGACACCGAACTAAATTTTGCACTATTGCCTAGAGGACCACATATCATCAATATAAGTATTAAAAATAAAATAAAAATATTTACGGATAACTTTTCGATGTAGGTATTTAATTAACTTTATTTTTAAATATAGTCTGTTGTAACGTTTTTGATAAAAATTATAAGTTTATCCATGTTATATAATGATTTTTCTTTAATAACCAAAAATAATCAACCAAACATAGACGATTAAGGAAATATATGATTTCGACTAAAAACCTAGAATTTGGAGAGTTTCGGAGGTAATAACATATGGTTTAGGGCTAATGGGCTATGGTTTTGGAACTTATCTACGGTTTGGGGACCCATTAGACTATAATAAATAAAGTTATAAAATTTTATTTAGATCATTTTTGGGTGATTGAAGTTATTGAAACGCCCTCCAATGGCGACTCCGAAAAAATACCTTGTTTATATAACGGTTTTGGAACTCATAGTATGATATTTGAGAGAAAAAAACAACAACACTAAATTTTATTCTCCAAAAAAATACATTCTTTTATATATACTAGTAAAAATATATACTATATAATAGTCAAAGCAAATCTGAAATAGTAGTCAACTTCAACCAAACAACAATCAACACCAAAAGAAAATGAAATAGTAGGTGATGTAGGGAAACGATAGGTTTGTAGGCCTCACCTACGGTTTTGTTCATAACGAGCATGACGTTCATCTAAACCTGAAACAATACTAGCAGCTTTGTTGAAAGTATATTGTATGTGAGTAACTTCATCTACGGTTTTGTCAAAAAAAAATTGTTTTTTTTAATAGGAGGTCAAGGAGGAGTACAGTGACGAAACCGCACACGTCTTAGTCTAGGCTATAGTTTGGTTGGCTACTTTTAGATATTGCCAAATTTTTGATGAAAAATAGTTAGTGTTTTTAGTAGATTAGTCATTTTCTCATGTTTTTTTTTTCGGTGGGCTACCTTTTTGTTAGTTTCGGCTTAGGGGGTGTTTGACTTATCTTTTGAAAGGCCAAAAGTCATTTTTGGAAAAGTTGCAAAAAGTCAGTTTTCCTGACTTTTCCAAAAAGTCAGTTTTCTTTATATCAAAAATCCAAAAGTAGCTTTTAAAATGTTTTTACCAAACATATTTTACCTTTTATCTTTTCCTAAAATGACTTTTGGCCTCTCAAAAGATAAGCCAAACACCCCCTTAATAAAGTCGGTTGGTTGTAAATTATAATAAGTAAAAGGATGAGCACAACTTAAGAATCAATTAAATAGAAGACAAAACTGCCAAATTGGTCCTTGTGGTTTGCAAAAAACTTTGGATGGGATCCAAAAAGTTTTCAACTTGCATGGAATGTCCAAAATCAAGAATTTTATTTGGTTTTGGTCCTTGAAAATTTGAAAGGACTATTTTGCCCTTATTATTTATTTTTCACATTTTCTTTATTTGTTTTAATTATTTTGTAATTAAAAAAAGCAAAAGAAAAGAAAATTAGAAGGACGACCCCACCTCTCTCTCTCTCTCACCCTCTCTCTCTCTCCCCTGGAAGCCTTTCTCACATATCCATGAGTCCCTGTTCTTTAAAACCCTATCAACCATGATATAAACCCTAACTTAGTGTATAGAAACACGAATCGCGATTGGTGTCTTCGGTCTCATTCTCAACCTTCTCTATTCAGATTCACCATGAACTGTCGCAATGAACCTGAATGATGTTCCAAGGCTTTCACCAGAAGATATCGCCAGAATGATGGGTCGGACAACTGTGAAATATGATTTTGTAGATAGAGAATGGATCGGAAAACCCGATATAACAATAGAACATTATACAGAAGGCGATTGGAGATCGTTAAGGAATCAAACTCCCATAGGGTCCGATCAAAACCCTCCTCCCTACCCCTTCTGGTTAAACCCCTTTTCGACTAATGCATCCCTCTTCTCTGTTCATTTTTTGTATCTAATCTCTTTTCATCTCGATTCAATTATTTGACGGGTCTGATGGATGCTTATGGTGGAGGTGGTGGATTTGTATCTTTGTTACAGGTTTTCTAGTCTAGAAATGGTGAAGAAGACTAGGTGGGGAAGAAGACGGAGTGGGGCCATTTGAAGACCAGATTGAGTTCAATTCATGTAGGTACAACACATCTGAAGACCGATGGTGGCGATCTCTGAACAAATCTTACATTGCAGAAAGAAAAATAGGCATTGTTATTATCTTCTTTCTCATCTGTAAAGATCGTTCTTGCTGCATCTTTTTATACCTTTAAACCATTCATGGAAATGGTTTAGATTTAGAGTTGAAAGAATGGGGAATTGAATGATATAAGAAGAAAAGAATGTGAAAGATTACTCAGTAAAGCTGCAACCCATGAACATAAAGTATGTTTGATGCCCACCAAGTGTTTGATCTTTTGTCTGAATGATCTTTCCATACTGCAACTTGTAGTTCTTAGTTATGTTCATTGATTTTCAGTAATTTGGCTTCACAAATTTCTGTTTAAGCCACAATTAGGTATTTAAATTTCTTGAAGCACTTGTTAAAGTACCTAAATCAAAAACAGGTGGTGGTGCCGTGAGAATGGCTTTCAAGATCGAGAGAGAGAGAGAGAGAGAGAGAGTTATTTCTTTTCTTTTTATTTTTAATTTAAAATAGTATTTTAAAAATTAAAAAAATATAAAAAGAGTAAATTACTGAAATCATCCCTATGGTTTGGTCAAAATTACACGTTTGGTCCCTAACTTTTTTTTGCACTCGGATCGTCCCTGTGGTTTAATTTTGTTGCGTTTTTCGTCCCTTACATACATAAAGTTAGGGACCAAACGTGCAATTTTGACCAAACCATAGGGACGAAAAACGCAACAAAATCAAACCACAGGGACGATCCGAGTGCAAAAAAAAGTTAGGGACCAAACGTGCAATTTTGACCAAACCATAGGGACGATTTCAGTAATTTACTCTATAAAAAAAGAAAGTAAAAGGGTATAACCGTCATTTCAAGTTTTTTTGGACCAAAAACACAGAAAAACCATGATTTTGGACATTCTGTGCAACTGAAAAACTTTTTGAACCCTATCCAAAGCTTTTTAAATACCACAGGGACCAATGTTACACACTACAAGAATATCACCCTTTAGCGGCGACACTATTACCGGCGAAATGGGCTTTTAGCGGTGACAAATGCTAGAGTCGCCAGTAAAAGTCCACGTCGCCGGTAATAGCGTCGCTGCTAAAGGGTTATCACCCGAATCCGCGTTTTCCCCCTCCGTTACATCTAAGCTGTTCGATCAAACATTCAATCCAACGGTTGGGGTACCCTTATCCGCACTAACCTAATACCAGCGACATACTTGTCGCCGCTA